CTGCACCGGTACAGTGGGGAGGGCCTGGTGGGCACGGATCGGCCGGTGTGGTCGGACGCCAAGGGGACGCCCCTCATACGCCCCCACGCCCGCACGGGCTGGACCGTCGAGCTCGGATCCGGCACCGACTCAGAGGTAACCCGCCACGCATCGCCCCCCCCCAATGCCACCCACCCGCGCAGGCGGCGCGTGCGATGATGGCCGTGCACGCGCGCATGCATGCATGCTGACGGACAGGTGCGGGGTGGCGGCGTGGCAGGGGTGGGAGTATTCGTTCACGTGGGGCGACATGTTCGCGTGGCAGCCCAAGTCTTCCAAGAAGACCGTACGAGCCGCCCTGTTATTTTATTATTTTCATTATTTTCCGCCTGTAGCTCTTCTTGCGCACCACCTCTCAACTTCACGCACACGACACACGACACACTACGCACACGACACACCGCCCACCAACGAACTCGGCCGGGACTCTCTCATGTACTGCAGTTGGTGCGTCGGCGCAAGTGGGTCAAGACCACAGCCGTGGAGGACGTCACGACCGCCATGACGCAGCTTTCCACCGTTGCGGGCATGTCCCTCCGCAGCCACACCAAGCCCTCCGCGTAGAGCCAAACACAAGAACGCAAGGTGGGACTGGTACCATGGGGGTTTTTTTTTGTTTTTAATTGCTGGATTTCTTCATCTGATTTCTGTCGCCAGTTATTTTTTAGTATTATTTATTTTATTTTCCTTTGGGCAAAATAAAAACAACGTTCCTCCGTCTTTGTCCGCCTCGAGCTCCGGCAGCAGCAGCAGCAGCAGATGGCCTCCAGCAGCAGCAGCAGCGGCAGCAGCACGACATCGACGGCAGCGCTCCGTGCGCAAGTTCGCCCCCACCCCACTCTTCCCGGCGAGGTCGAGTTTGTGTCCAAGGATGCCCTCCTCGTACGCCTACCCCCCCCTCTCATTTCTCCCTTCGAGTCCTTGCCCTCGTCCCTGCGCCTTGGCCTAAGTAAGGCCCGTCTATTATGGGGGGGAGGGAGGGAGGCGTTGTTCTCAATTTCTTGCTTGCTCGCTTGCGTGCCTGCGTGTGGTGGGGGGGGACTTGCAGTCGTTCGACCAAGGCTTCTTCGTGGCGGTCAAGGGCATTCAGTTGCTCCGCCAGCACAACCGCCGCACCACCATTGTTTCCATCGCCGGTACCACCCGCCCTCTTTTGCTTTGACTTTGTGTGTGTGCAGTGTGTGTGTGTGTGCGGTGGTGTGTATGCGTCGTCGGTGTGTTATTGGGCGCCTTTGTTGGTGCCCGTGGGGTGGCTGCTGACCGGAGGCGGGTGGCTGTGGCAGGGCCATCGGGTGCGGGCAAGACCAGCATCGCCAAGAAGATAGCGGAGGTCATCCCCAAGAGCCTGTACGTGCACGATCGCCTTCCCGTGCGCCTGTGGTGGAAACAGCGTCGTCAGTCTGTTCTCCCCCGCTCACGGTGGCGGTGCGCGTGGGTGCGTGAAGGGTGGTGTCGCTGGACAACTACCTCGATGGCTCACGCGTGGTGGAGGAGAACTACGACGACTACCGCCTGGTCGACTTTGAGCTGCTCGTTAAGAACCTCACGGTGCGGCATTCCCGCGTGGACCGCACCGTGCAGCATGGGCTCTCTCAATGGGACTGACTGTATGTCGTGCCGCGCCGCGCCGCGCTGTGTCGTGTATCCGTGGGGTGGCATTGGTGCGGCGGTGGTGGGGAGACCGCAGGACCTGAAGGAGGGGCGGGAAACAGATCTGCCCCTGTACGACTTCCGGAGGAGCGGCCGGTACGCGTACTTGCACGTGCCTCCGCCGGAGTCGCGTGTGGTGATCGTGGAGGGCACCTACGCCCTCCACGAGCGCGTGCGTGGCCTCGTCGATCTCGCCATCTCCGTGTCCGGGGGTGTGCACTTCGACCTCGTCAAGCGCATCTTCCGTGGTACACACGCCCACCCACCGTGCCCCGCTCCGCCCGGGGACCATGATCCGTTGTATGTCGTGTGTGTGTTGTGTGTGTGTCGCGTGTGTACTGACCCGCGTTTGCTCGGGACAGACATCCAACGCACCGGACAGGAGCCTCGCGAAGTGATCCAGCAGATTACGGAAACGGTCTACCCCATGTACAAGGCACGTCACACGCCGCACCACGCCAAATTCCTCCCCCCCCCGCAACGTCCCCCCACGCATGATCCACATGCGTGAGCCACTCCCGTGCGTGCGTGCGTGAGGCTGGGCTCATGCGTGTGGATCATGCGCGCCCAGCAGGCCTTCATCGAACCCGATCTGGAAAAGGCGCACATCCGCATCGTGAACAGCTTCAACCCGTTCAGCGGCCTCTTGAACCCCATCTACACCCTCAAGTCCGCTACGGTACCACCCGCGCCACCTGCTCGCACACAAATACACACGCACTCACGCACACCCACGCACCCATGCACCCACGCACACCCACGCACACCCACGCACCCAATGGTCGTCCCTCCCTTGCCGCAGGCCGTCCCGCGGGAGAAGATCGAGGAGGTGGTCAAGGCCACACTCTCCTCGATGGGCAAGACCGCCAAGGACGTACGCACCGACTACTACTACGGTATGCACCCCCCCCCACATGGGTCCTTCTTTACCGTGCCCCCCCCCTTCCACCCGATGGGTCGCCTATCCCCGTCCTCTCCCACTGTGCGCGTCGTGCGTGTGTGTGTGTGTGTGTGTGTGTGCCCATGTTCATGTCAGCGTTTGGTTGTCGTTGTCGTCGTTGTCGTTTGCTGCTCACCTGCGTGCGTGCAGATATCTACCTGCGCCCACCGGGGACGAACCAGCACCACAACAACCACAGCAACCCCGAGCAGGCCATGTACGGCCTCTTCGTCTTATTGTCCTGCTCCCTCCCCCTTCCATACGCCAACAATCTGATCCCTGAGGACAAGCGGCGGCGGCGGATGGCGGATGGCAGGCACACGCAACACGGGCTGGATTGGATTCGCATGCGGAACAACGGGGGCACCTACACCCTCCAGTTCTCCGAGTCGCTCAAGGAGGACGAATTCATCATCGCCCCCACCATGGACTTCCAGGTCAACGTCAAGATCCTCGGTGGTCTAATGGCCCTGGGCTATTCGATAGCGGTCATCATCCATCGCCGCTCCATCGTATTGGGGGGCCATGAGGAGCTCTCCGTCACGCTCGACACGCTCGAAGGTACCTCGCCCTCCCCTGCAACACAACCCACCACCAGCCACCAACGCCGCCACACCACGACGTTGATGCTGGCAGATGAAAGCTGTGAAAAAGAAGAAGCTGGCGCGGGCTGAATGGCCTCTTTGGGGGGGGGGTCAAAATGGGCAGAGCTGGGGGCGCAGACCTTCGTGCAGATCAAGGGAAGCAGCCGCCAGCTGGTGGAGCAGGTGGGCGAGAAGCTGGGCTTGGTGGGGGCCTACATCCCCAAGTCCTACATCGAGATCTACCTCGACCAGTTCGCCCCCGCTCCCCGATCGCCCGCCCCCGCGACTCCTGCAGCTGCTGCTCGAGGAGCAGGAGGGCTGCCGTCGGTGGCTGGCGATGCAGCCCTGCAAGCCTTCGTCAACGCCAAGCTCTGAGGCGACCACCTCCTCCCTAGGAATAGAAAAAAAAAGGGAAAAAGGGAAACAACAGCTTTTCTGCCGCCCTACGCGATAAACATGTGGAGGAGGGTCCCGATGTGCCGCTTGTTGGGGAACACTAACAATGGCACTGCAGCAGCAGGGCACCTCCTCGCCGTAGCACAACCACGTATGTGCCTGCATCGTCACATTTCACATGTCGAATCCTGATACATTACTTGAGCCATTACTGAGGGCTGTTCTCGGCCTGTGCGTGGCGCCAGTTGTGCGGCGGGTTGGCCTGCCGCTCCGTGGCCACGTGCCAGCAACCTCGCGTTCCTTCGCCTCCATTGGTGGTACCTCACCGCCTTTCCTCGCTCCCTTCGTCGTGCCCCACCAAAAACTGCCGTGTCCAACGCTGGCTGGTGGTGGTGATGATTAATTTGCTGCTTGGTGGTCGCTGGCGCAGCGAGCGCCGCGTGGGATCGACCTGGCGGGCAGGAGTCCGACCAGCAGGCCGACGAGACTCTATCCGTGCCACAGTACGGAGGGAGGGAAGAGCTGGACCGCACGAATCTCGTGCGTGCCATCACGGTGGACGAGGCCGGCAGCTTTCGGGAGGTCTCTCTCACCAAGGCCGACCTGTCGCGCGAGCTGCGCGTACAAAAGGTACCCCGCCTACTTTCTTGCTGCGCAGCAAGAACATTTCTTCATTCACATGTTGATTGATGCATCTCTCCTCATTTTCTTTTCTTTCTTTTCAAGTGTGAGGGTTTGTGGGGGGATCGTGCTCGTGAGCCTTGAATGGTCGTGTGCTGACTGACGGTCGGCGGGACAGCGGGACCTGCGGGCAGTCGACGTTTCCTTTCCCAACCAGCTGGCATGCTTTCTGGTGCGGGACGGGGTCATTCTCATCAACCTGGAAGCGTTCAAGGCCATCGTGAAGCACAACAGCTTGATCCTGTTCACCACGGAAACAGCACGCGGGACCGTTTTGCAGCAGTTCTGCCCCTTCCTCCAGTACCGTCTCACGTATGTACCGTACCACCACGACCACCACGACCACCACCACGACCACCACCACGACCACCACCACGACCACCACCACGACCACCACCACGACCACCACCACGACCACCACCACGACCACCACCACGACCACCACCACGACCACCACCACGACCACGACCACGACCACGACCACGACCACGACCACGACCACCACCACGACCACCACCACGACCACCACCACGACCACCACCACGACCACCACCACGACCACCACCACGACCACCACCACGACCACCACCACGACCACCACCACGACCACCACCACGACCACCACCACGACCACCACCACCACCGCGGGATGACTCTCCTCTCCTCCTCTCCGACACTCACACACTGTGGTGGTTGGTGGCTGGTGGCTGGTGGTGGTCAGACGTGAAGTTGGTGCTCACGTAGGTGGATTTGAGTTTCGAGTGGTGGAGGCCGTGCTGACAGTGCTCTGCGACACGCTGTACGAGCGCTATGGGGAGCTGAAGGCCAGGATTGACCACTTGCTGTTCGGGTTGGAACAGGCCACCAACGGGCAGGACGATTACCTGCCCTTCCTCGCCGACCTTTCGCACCACAACAAAACGCTCAACTCTTTCCAGAAGCGAGTTCACGAGGTACCGCCGCGCCACCCATCCGTCTGCCCTCGCTCGTTTCTCCCCTTTGTCTTACGCCTCCTTGTCCGCTCCTCCCCCCGGGTGTGCGGTGCCTTCTCTCTCTCTCTCTCCACGCGTGCGCCTGCAGGTTCGCGGAGCGCTACATCAAGTTCTTGAATCGGACGAGGACTTGGCGGCGATGTACCTCTCTGTGCAGGTGCTCTCTCTCTCTCTCTCTTCTGCGCTATCATGCTATCCTTACATCCTCCCGTGGATGCGCCAGGCAGCAACTGGTCATCGACGCCGAACGGACCAGCATGAGGAAGCAGAAATCCTCATTGAAAACTATGTCGCGCAGTTAGATGACATTCTCAGTGAGGTTTGTCGCCCTGTCTGCCTAACGTAACCCCAGTCTCATCGTACATCATTGCAGGTAGCTGAGTTGCAGTCTTCCATTGATGTGTCAGAGGAGTACTTCCGGCTCACCCTTGATTCCCAGAGGAACAAAATCATGAAAATGAATCTGCTACTCACCTTGGGCACCTTCTCCACTGCCTGCGCAGGAGTTGTGACAGGTGTCTTTGGCATGGTATGTTCCTCCAGCTAAGATGTCTCCAAATCTGCTGTGAACTACTGTTTGCTGACCAGCTAGCTTTGTTGTTTGTACAGAACCTCCAAAACTTTCTAGAGACTTCTGAGTCTGCATTTCTGGTCACCACTGGTGGTCTGACAATCAGCATGGCTGCCTCATTTGCCTCTATCTACACCTACTTTCGTCTCAAGAAAATGCTGTGATCAATTTAATGCCCCTGCCAGCCCAGAACCTGGTACCACTATTTTGGGAATGTGGTGGGACTATTTAGGGCAAAACAGGACTATTTTGCAATTGTATTGAGACAAAACTGGGATTAATTTGGGACTATTTTGCATGGCTTTGGGACAATTTTGGAACTTGTTTGGGGAGACCATTTTGGGACCATTTTGGAATCATTTTTGGGAGTGTTTTTGGATAATTTTGGGACTGTTTTGGGACCAGTTGGGCACAATTTTGGGACTGCACTGGGACAGGTTTGGCATTTGTGTAGGGAGAAATTTCAAGACTGGTTTGGGACTGCAGTGGGACCTGTGTGGATTGTTCTGGGACTGTTTTAGTTGTGATTGAAGACAACAAGACCCCAATGAAGAGTACACTTACTCCTCTTGTTGGCAAACCAGCCGCCAACAACAACCCCTGTAATTTTTTGCACTCATTCATCTGTAACCAAATTCTTGTGTCTTGTGGATGAAGTGGCCAGTGGTGGTCTGTGACATCTGTGGACAAGTCTCCTTAGCCCTACGCTAGCAGTGTAGGGAGATGAGTTGCTGGCTGCGACATCTGTGGTGATCCACGACAACCATGGAAGGCTCAACTCTCAGGCAATGGTGGTCCACGACATCCACAGTGGTCTGTGACATCTGTGGACAAGGCTCATTTCCTACAGCAGTTGCTGCGGAGTGGATCTACTTAAACTCCAAACCCTGAGAGTACAAGGTGCACCACCATTGTTGTAGCCTGCGACGCATCTCCACTAGTAACACCAGCGGTGTTTTCTCTGGAGGTGGACCTTGTCGCGGAACAAGGGAGGGCGCACATGCTGCAGCGTGTGGTGCGTGAGCAGTTCGTGCTGCGAAGCCTACACACCGCAGTGTATTGTGCGTGATCGTGAGGATGCCAGCTATCTAGCAAGCGAGAAAACTGGAGCGCTTTGATTGGTTGGCGTGATTAGGCCTTAGGTGAGGAGCGCACTGTAGCCCTGAATCGTGCGGTGAAGTGTAGGCGGTCCGCGGGAGATCGCGATTATCCGCGGACATCGCGGCCAGCGACTCATCCCCAGGGGATGCAACGAAAACGCGTAAAACTAGTTTTACGAGTGTTACTAGTTTTACTAGTTTAACGACTTAACACTCGTTAAACGCGTTTAACTAGTGAAAAGCGTTTAATCAGTGTTGCCACAGGTGGTTTGTGGTCATTTTACTCGTTTTTTACGCGTTGTTTTACTTTAACTCGTTATATACTCGTTTTACTCGTTATTTACGCATTTCTTACCCGTTCCACGCGGGTTTTACTCGTTCCACGCGGTTTTTACTCGTTTCACGCGATCTCTACTCGTTTCACACATTCTCCACTCGTTCCACACATTCTCCACTCGTTTCACGAGTGGCCCACACGTTCAACGTTATACTCGTTTTCGTTGCATCCCCTCAATAAACGAATGCTCCCACTCGTGCCAACACCCACGCCGTTCTAATACTGGGAAGGCTGATGAGTTTTCCTCCATCCTTCGACGAATTTCATGTGTGTTCGTTCTTTGAGTGTTACTCGTGCAATTTGTTTTTACTCGTTTCGGTTGCATCCCCTAAGTGGTCTGCATAATTTTTGCCAGGCTGCCAGGCTGCCAGCTATCTAGGCCCTGAGTCGTGTGGGACCGTGTAGCCCATGGTCTAATTAGTCTGGAAAATGATTAGCAGGCTGCCAGCTATCAACGCAAGTGAGAAAACAGCTGCGGTTTGTTTGGGCGAGTAATTTTCAGTGGTGAAGCGAAAAGCGCACTGTTCAGCCCTTGTGCGGCATCTTGTAGCCCATGGTCTTATTAGTCATGAAAATTATCGGCAGGCCCCTAGCTATCAAGGCAAGCGAGAAAAGAAAACTTTTCTTGCTTGTGTTGTGTTTGGTCCTAGCGGCCCAATAAGCCATCCTAGAGGGCTGAATCCTATCACATCTTGAAGCCCATGCGCTGCGGCGCATTTTGAACAAAACGGCAGGTCCAGAGCTTACAGAGCAACCGAGAAAACGGGTGATCTTGCGTGTGTGGTGATGGCCGCCAAAATTCTAAGTCAAAACTCCGGCTTGGGCGAAACTGGACAAAATCCGGGGACGTGTGCGCCACGAAATTCAAGCAACAAAGAGGTGCACGAGGGCTTTGGCTGCAACTATGTTTATTGTTTCATGTGTGCCAGGTAGGTGTGTGGCTTCTAGCTTGAGGGGACAAGCAAGCCCATATCCACGTTCACCTGCCGAGGAAAGAAGTGTTGAGCGGCGGCGAGAGGGCAGTGAACCATGGTTTGTAGGTACCTGTTCACGGAGGTACTTGCTCAGGTAGTCGAGATTGCGATTTTCCTCCGACAGGAATCGCATAAAGTCAAGGCCAGATTCCTTGCACATGATCCCCATTTCCTCAGGATTCTAAAAGGAGAGCAGAAAAATGTGGAGTGAGGTGCGACGTGTGGTGTGTGTTCGTGTGTGTCATGTGTGTGTCGTGTGGTAGAGGCTCGCCCCAGGAAGGGTGGGTAGGGGACACGTACGGTGCGGTCGGCAATGATGCGGAAGGCCTCCGAGGCAATTTTGAGGGCTTTCCCTGAGGCAATCAGATGGTCGAGGCCAGAGTTGAGGAAAGACAGCGGCAAAATTTCGTCGAGTACGGCCTGCCCGATAAGATTTCCGAGGTAGCTTGACGCTTTGGGAGAGTCTACGTCGACTTCCTCGATGGCCTGGAGCACGTCGGCGAAGCTGCAGCATTTGTACAACGTTGTGTTTAGGGTGGGATTGGGTTGGGACACTCCGTGAGCAAAAAGGAACACTGCAGTGTTTGAGGTAACGAACCCTTGGGCAATGGACTCAGCCGAGAGAATGTTCTGCTCGGTGTGCAGCTGGAAGAGGAGCTTGGAGATGAGCTTGCGCTGCTCCTCCTTCCTTTCGATGGCTTTGGCGACAGCCTTGAGGAGCAGCAGGAGGAGGAGGAGGAGGAGGAGGGAGCAGAGGAACCACGTGAGCAGCAAACAAACGCTTACGGGCGAAGAAGAGGATAAGAAGAAGCGAAGAAGAGGCGAAGGTGAAGGTGCAGCACCTTTGACACCACCTTGTAGTGGTACTCGGGGGCCTTGAGCTCTTTGATGCACTCACCAGCTTCGAGTTCGTCATAGCTGAGGATATACTCTTCGAGCAACATCTCCGCGTCGTTGTCCAGCTGCTTGATCTTTTCTTCGGAAAGTGCCGGAGCTTTGGCGGGAGCTACCGCCTCGGTGGCCTTCTTCGCCTCCTTGTCCTCGCCTGCTGGCGCACGCCGCAGTAGTAGTGGAGGGTGAGAGGGGTGGCCTCAGGCATGCAGAATCCCTCCCGGTAAACGTACCCTGCTGGCGGCGTCGGTGGGAAGGCACATAGACTTCGCCGGCCGGCCGCGCGCCCTTTTTGTTATCCACAGACTCGGCCTGGGTCGAGAGAGGAGAGAGGAGAGAGAGAGAGAGAGACGAGGACAATTGTAATTGTGAGAAGGTTTTCAGAGGAACAACAACGAGGCCAGCAGTAGCTGAGAGAACAAGAGCTGACTTGCGTGGCGCGCGCACCTTTTCCTTGCCCTCGCTCTCTGCGGAGAGAAGGGAGAAAGGGTTGACGGGGAGGGCTTCCACGGCCTCCTTGCCTTTCCGCGAACGATCGGTGGGAGTGGCCCCGCGTCCTCCTCCGCGCTGGCTAGCGTAAGCTCCCCTTCCTCCGCCCTGGGTGGATGGATGGATGGATGGACGGATGGACGGATGGATGGATGGATGGATGGATGGATGGATGGATGGATGGATGGATGGATGGATGGATGGATTAGTATTAGGATTGGTATTATTAGGATTATCAACGCCATACGCGGCTACGCGGGAGGGAGGAGGGGAGCATGGATGGGCATCAGGCGCGCGTACCCTCGCGGACGGTGCGTCCGTCCCTCTGGAGCTGCCCCTACCGCCCCGGCCGCCGCCGCTGCCGCCGCCGCCGCCTCGCCCCTTGGCACTGTTGGAGACAGTTTCCCACTCCCCGGCGGGCTGGCCTTTGGTTGGCGCAGAGGCACCTCCTCTTCCAGACTTTCCGCCTCGTGCCCCTTTGCTGCCGCCCACCACTTCCCAGCCGTCGGCGCTCCCTTTGGTGTTGCTGGTGCCAGCACCTGCGCCGACGACAGTGTCACGGTACACACGGGTGTGGTGCATTACGCACACGGTATATACGTTGGTCAGCAAACCGCAATGCTCGGGGCGGGCGGGGGGCGGGGGATTGTCCGTACCGCCGGTGGCCGCATGGGCGGCAGGGGTGGAACGGGCCGCCGCCGCCGGCCGTGCAACGACCGCTCCACGAGTTCCGGCGGGCGGCGCGGGGCCTCTGCCGGCACGGGCGGCCTCCTGAGTGAGGGAAGAAGGGGAACGAGGAGGAGGAGGAGGGAGGAGGAGGGTCAAATAAACGCTGGGAAGGTGAGGAAGGCCTCGACACAGAATCCTGAAGTGGGGCCTCCACGAAAAAGGCGGACGGAAGCGGCACGGCGACGACGCAGAATTGGGGTCAAGGAGGTACCTCCTTGGCCAGGGATTTGTGCACTTCCTCGAGGGTTTTCGGGGTGTCGTCGGCTCCCACCCCCACCCAACTGGGCACACGCGCAGAGAGGACGGGCAGGCAGACGACGCCCCAGAAATAGAAGGTGAGGTATGGCCATACCATGCAATGCCGTGCCGCGCCGCGCCATGGAGGGATGGGGGAAGGGGCACGCGGGCAGTGATGCGGGCGCGCCCGGGAGGATGGAGAGGCGCGGGAGGGGAAGACAATACCCATTCCTGCGCATGTCGATGAGGTCGGTGAGCATGAAACGGATACGAGCAGGGTGGTTCTTGTCCTCGGCCATCTCAGTCAGTCGTCGGAAGTACTGCTCCATCGGTGAGTCGGGCTTGCCCTGGAACGAGTTGAGAGAGAGAGAGAGAGAGAGAGAGAGAGAGAAGAGAAGAGGAAAGAGAGAAGAGACGTTAACAGGGGGGCGGGGTGGGGTGGGGTGTGGGGTTCTGGGGAGGTACTCGGGTTTTGGCGTCGAGCTGCTTGCCCACGGTGGACATGAGCTTGCACAACGCCTCCAGGTCCTCGTGCGAGGGCTGGCCTTGGCCAATGGGAGGCAGAAGTGTGACGATGACGCAGCCGTGCATGATCTTATCCGTGAGCATCCTCAGCTTGAACAGCTCGCCGATGAAGATGATGTTGCCGAACATGCGGGTTTTGGCCTTGGCTTCTCTGAGTTCCTTGTCCTCTGGCGAAAGCTTATCGGCGTCTTCGTCGAGCTGGGTCTGTACCGATCACGATGAGAGGTTGCCGCGCTGCGCAACCAGCAGAACGGGGAGGGGGAGGGAGCGGCAGGTACCTTTTTCTCAAACTCCTTCTGGCACCGGTTCAGGAGAAGCCGTCGGAAGTTCTGCTTCTTGCCATTGTCCTCAAACTCGGGACAAGCCGGCTGCACTTTGAGGCAGAGCTCGGCGTACATTTTGCTGAACTGCGGCTCTGTGAGCGCCTTGTCGAAGATCTACGTGGGCTCACGCGCGCGCGACATCCAGCGTCAGCACAAGCCACCTTTGGCCTATTGTGGGTGGGGGGGGGCGGAGGCGGAGGAGCCCACCTGGTTGATAACCTGGTCCAGCATGCTGACATCGGTTACCTGGCCCAGCAGGCCAATTAGTTGGTCGCTGAGCGGCTGGAACTTCTCCAACGTGAGCTTGTTGAGGATGCTGGCGGCGATTGGCGGCGGAGGAGGAGGAGGAGGAAGAATGATGGAATGAGCAGGACAGCCACCACGTGAGGGACGACGGAATGAAAGGGAGGGAGGGAGGGAGGGAGGGAGGGACAAGGCATACCCCTTGATCTCCTTGAAAATCTTGTCATTGCCCTCCACCTTCCTCGGCCTTTGCCACACGTGCTTGTTATCTGCTGGCCAGATGATGCCAGATCCGCGCAACACAGCGCATGAGTGACGGTTGGTGTAACAAGAAAGGACCATCGGTTGCCAATGGCGAACAGGGAGGCCGCCCGGCGTAGCAGCGCACGTACGTACCTGTTGCGGTATCGGTAGAAAGGGAAGCCGCTGTTGAGACGCTCCCAGAACTCTCCCGCCATATCTTCGGGCCTCCCGAGGCCCCTTGAAGCGGGGGCTTGCCTCCGCCGTTACCGCGACCTCCGCTTCCCTGACTCCTGGTTTTCTGCTCACGTTTGGTGGAGGGGGGCTCCATGATGAGAGGCTGCCGAAGCTAATCTCGGTACTTCTTTCGGATTTAAGAGCGCGCTCAGACGGCGTACCCATGAGGAGCCACTAGCAGCGCCCCTGGCACCCCGCGGACCCATTGAACCTGGCCCGGAACGTCCACCCTGAGCCTTCGGCTTCCCGGAGCCTGGAATAATGTCGTCAATCTCCAACAGCCCCTCGGGCTTTTCGCGGCATGTCTAAGAATGGAGAGAGAGAGAGAGAGAGATGTCAGCACGAGTGCTCTGGTGCGTGGTCCAAAAGAGAGAGAGAGAGAGACCCTCCACATCTCAACACGAATGTGGAAAAAGGACATGAATGTAGAACAATGATATATATATAAATTAGGGGAAAGAGCAGAAGGATGCGTTACCGGGAGCTGTTGGAAGAGAAGAAGAAAGTCTTGGCTGTAGACACGCTTCCCGGTTTCGGGGTTGAGCGTGGACGGTCCGAGAATGATGCGGTCCTCCTCCGACTCCTCCACAGGCGTGGTTGGCGTGGGGATGGGGCTGGCCGACCGCTCTTCACGTGCAGCGGCTCCTTCGGTCTCCTTGCTCTGCTGTTCATTTTCATCCTGCTGCTCGAGATGACCCAGACCTTCTCCCGTGGACCGCGTGAGGAAGGGGCTGCTGGCAGATCCTTCACCTCTCTGAAGTGCACCAAGCCTACCCCCTTTCTTATGTTCGCTGTGTGCGGCATTGGCGGATGCATCCCCCTCGCTTGTCTCTACCACCGCGTCTTCTGCGGCAGTACTCATCGCCGCGGCCGTCGTCGTGGCCGAGCTGCCTTCTTCGCCCGCTGCGTCGGGGGCGGCCTTGGAGGGGGTATCAGATGGCAGGCTGTCAGCTGCCGCGTCGGGGAGAGAAGAATTGAGTTGCTGCTGATCGGCCATTCTCCGTTACGGGTAGTGGGAAATCGGGACACGGAGGATGCACGCGCTGGCTGCCCTCTTCTTTCTGTGTCGATGTGCGGACACTTCAAGTGCTCGCGGACCACCCTGCCGCGCGCCACAGTCCGTTTCACTCCGCTGCTGCATTCCTGGCGTACTTCCCAGTTTGTTCCTGGTTTTTCACTTGTCACCGGGCACTGTCACTCACGAAAAAAGGAAAATGGAGCAAGAAAGAAAAAAGAAGTTATTCCAAGAAAGAAAAGCGAGAGAGATTAACCACATGATACTTCGAAGTGGGCGTCCTCCCGTTCTGCTTGCCCCGGTCGCCGTAGGTCCGCGACGTACCCCTCGGGGATCGGGGCTGCTCACCTCCCACTTGCGGAGGAGCCTGGTGTCGCTGGCGCAGGAGGGAATGGCGGCACCGCCTCTGACCCCCCCTCCTCGTCCCGGTGCATGGCCCCTCCTCCCTCTTCCTGTGTGCATCCCCCCCCCCGGGGGGGGGACATGCGTATGCAGCTCGCGCTTAGCTGGTGTGGACCGACCTACCTACCTACCTGCGCACCTCTCACGCGCGACGGGCTGTGTGGTGAGTTGCAGTTGAGGGCGAGTGTTGTGGGTCGGGCTGCGCCAACTGCGTGTGGGTGACCTATTGTACCGCCATCTCTCTCTCCTTCTCTCTCTCTCTCTCTCCTCCCCCCCCAATGCTGGGGCTCGGTGGGCATTAACCGCCGCCGCTTCCACCGCGTGCTCGCAACAGGGGAACAGTGCGAAGACTATGAACGGCGCAGGAAGGCCCTGCAGCGCCTGCAGCAAAGCGGGAGCGGCAAGCTCGACCACCACCAGCACCACCACCACCACCAGCAGCAGCACCACCAGCACCACCAGCAGCACCAGCAGCAGCAACCAGCAGGTACGTGTGCCCGAGTTGAAGCGAAAGACGGGCCAGGGGTTCGAGACTAACCACCAATTTGGTGATTGGATGCACGCCACCACGGGCAAGGTGGTGATGATGGCGGTGGGACACAGCAAAGCCAACAGAGCAACGAGGGAGAGAACGGCATGGACGCCGCCACCAGGTCGTGTTCTGTTCAGTGCCTCTCAGCGAACAACGAATGGCTGCTTCTGCAGCGCCACGTGGCCAGGATGGCCATAGGCTGACTGGTGGGGGCGGCGGGGCGGTGGGACAGGGCGTTCATTGAGCTGGAGAAGAGACTGGCACAGCAGCAGCAGCAGCAGCAGCAGAAACAGCAGGGTCAAACACGCGCGTAGGCCTTTGCCGCCGCAGGAGGAGGAGGAGGAGGAGGATGCCGTCACGGTGTGGTGTGCCACCGCTCCACGCGAGAGCTCGCGAGCGGGCCGGGGAGAAGGAGAACGGGCGGGAGGAACTCGACTTATCCCTGGCCACCCAGCCGCCCAGCCTAGGCGATGGACGCCACCACCGCAACGAGAGCCTTGGCGATTTTGACGAGCTGCACCACAACTCGTGGATCCTGGCCCCCCGTCGCCAAGCCATACCCGTGTTTAACGAACGTTCAACCAACCATACCATACCATCCAACCCTTTGGAGGGCAAAAGCCGTGCGGCGTGTGTGTGCGGCGTGTGTGCGTACCTGTGCGCTGGCCAGGATGTTGTGGGCCGTGGCGAGCGTTTTTTCGAGGTCGAAGAGGGCTACGTTGACGGTCTTCTTCACAGCAGTCAGTTTGTCGTCGGTCTTTTGGATGAGAGGCGGCGCTGGCTTGGCCAGTGGTGGGAGAAGCGTCTTCAGCTGATCCACCCCCTGCCAACACCCACCCACCCATCGGAGAGGGTCCCCCACGAGGAGGCTTCAGCTTTCTCATTCGGCCATTGCAGCGCTGTTTTGGGGGGAGGGGGGCGTGCCGGTTTCATGTTGCGAAGGTATTGGGCCAGACCCAGAGCCTGGTCCAGGCTCTGTGTGGCGGCCACGCTCCTCTTCATGGTGGCGAGCTTGCTCTGGAGCTGCACACGTGGCCCACCCCCGCGACAATAGAGGGGAAGGAAAACCACACAAGCAGCGACATGAGGAGCCAGCCAGCCAGCCAGCCCCCGAGGGGGCTGGAGGCCAGGCTGCACGTACCTCAGTCATGAGCGTGAGTCCCTCCTTGCGCACGAGCCCCAGCTTCTGCTCCAGCGACATGCTGCTCTGTGGCATGTCCGACGCGCTGCCCGGTTGGGGCGAATTGCCCTGGCCCTGGTGCACCAGACCGCGTTGCCCTCCTGCCGCGCACGCGCACATCGCGCACATCGCACAAACAACACGACCGACGCACATCATGAGAAAGACAGCAAGGAATAGCCGAACTGGACTCACTGGCGACTGAGGCGGTGCGCAAGCTCGGGTACCCCCAGCGGCGGACGCAGCAACTCCACCAGAACGCATTTGAACCTGCACCACCAGCCACCACCAGCCACCACCACGACGAACACCAGCCACCACCAGCCACCACCAGTCACCACCCCAGCACGACCACCAGCACCACCAACGACCACCACGACCAGCACCACCACGACCACCACCACCACGACCACCACCACCAACACCACCACCACCACCACCAACACCACCACCACCACCACCACCACCACCCGGAAGGAAGGAAGGAAGGAGGGAAGGAAGGAGGGGTCAGGGAAAAACAGCGATCGCCTGTTGGGGAGGGGTTCACCACCTGGGCCGAGGTCTTAACCCGGAGAGCGTCGAGTTCCTGCAGATCCACGCTGGGGTGGTCGGCCAAGTACTCTACAATACCAAGGCACGAGGGCGGGAGCTTGGTGAGACAGTGTATGTCGTGTGTGTGTGTGTGTGTGTGGTGCCGTGTGTGGCCTGCTGTGGGTGGGTGGGTGGTGGATATGATGGGTATATATAATATATAATATAGAATATATATACCCATCATGCGTCGTTCGAGGTAGTCGACGAGGTGGTCGGACCCGATGGAGAACTTTTCGAGGAGGCGTTGGTTGCGGATCGGGTTGCCCTGGACCATGAGGGTCTGGAGGCCGGTGAGGTGGCCGGCGGAGAGGGGGAGGTCGGAGAGGCGGTTGTCGGAGAGGTCGAGGCGCACGAGCCTGGTCATGCGGCCCACGGCCTGGGGCAGCTGGGCCAGGCGGTTGGAGGCCAGGTTGAGCTCCATGAGTCGCGTGAGCAGGGTGAAGTCGTCGGGGAGGACGGTGAGCTGGCAGGCCGAGAGGTCCATCACTTCGAGCGCACTGCACGCTCCGACCTCGGGAGGCAGGCCTTGCACGAGCGGGTTTCCGTTGAGGTTCAGCTCCTCGAGTCGGCTCAGGCATCCGATCTGGGGCGGCAGCGTGGTCAAGCGATTGTTGGCCACGCTCAGCTTCTCGAGCGCCCCCAGCTTGGCGATGGTGTCCGGCAGAGCCACCAGCTGATTCCCGTTCAAATGCAACTCCCGCAACCGCGTCAGCCTGCCCACTGCAGCACAGGAATTAAAAAGAAGAAGAAGAAAGGAAAAGACGAGAATAAGAAGAAGAGCCAGAGGGAGATCGGGGCCGCGTCGTACCAGAAGCCGAGAGGGAAGTCATTTGGTTGCCTTCCATGTGCAGCACCTCCAGGCACACCAGGGGCGTCAGCTGCGGGAAGCTCTTCAGCTTGTTGAACCCCAGATTAAGGCCCTGCCGTCGCGCAACAACAGAGAAACAGAAAAAGAAGAGAGGGAAGGAGGAGGAGGAGGGTCGAAGTGTTTAGTCCTGGGCCAGAGCCTGACAGATCGGGGTACGCGCCAGCGGCGCAGCAGCAGCAGCAGCGGCACCTGTAGTTGAGTGACGGCGCCCACCGTGTGGGGTACGTAGGTAAGCCCCACCCCGCTCAGACTCAGCGTAGCAGCGGGTCCTGGCACATTCCCCACGGCACACGGCACACGGCACATGACGCGCGCCACCGTTAGCCGGATTGCCCCATGTAAGGCCTTCAGAGCGCGATGGCGAGGCAATGCGGCAACAGTGGCACGTTGGTGGAGAGCAGGGCGCGAAGCGAAGCTGATGAAAGGCATGTGCTATCAATATATATAAATATATAAATATAAAGGTCTAGATACCGTCAGGAGGTCCCACGAAGGGAGTGTCGGAGGTGGCCTGGCCGGCCACGAACAGCTCCACCCGCTTTTTGATGTCCTTCAACAGCGACGACGACATCTTGTCTCCTGTGACGTAGGCCTCCTGCGTAGTATAGTACAACATATATTCGTACGCCGCATTTCTGATGAGCTGCAGCTTGCGGGCCGGATTCCGCGCGAGCAAAGCCACACAGGCGTGTCTCTGTAGCCAAGGAGAGACCCAGACCCAAGCCACACGAGGGAGCGAGGGGAGGGGCAGCGCACTTTGGGCAGCGCTGCCGGTCCCGACGAAGAGGAGGCGTGCTTGGGTGCATCTGCGGTGCTGCGTGTTCGCACCGGCTGAGCCTGGCCCTCCACGGAAAACTGGAGGAGGAGCTCCCCCTTGGCCCCCGCGCTGGACCCGTCCCGGTTCTATTGTTCACGCCGCGGTTCCACGCAGAGCCACACACACGCGACACATGCGACACATGCGACGCACACGACGCACACGACAACAACGCACACAGAGAGGCGATACCGCTAGTCAGTTAGCCAAACCGTGTAGGTGAGTAGTGGCGACGACGAGGTTGGGCCGATATGGTGCGATCCACGGACTCGGCCCTTGCGAGAGGGAGGGAGGGAGGGAGGGAGAGAGGGGTGAATTGAAAAGGGGCGCGCACGCGAAGCGGGAACCAGCTGTCGGAGCCGTCAAGCATGAGACCTCCCAGCTCGACCACGCACTGCCCTAAGAAATCGTCCTGGGTGGTGGTGGTCATGCATGAGACGCGCTTGCAGAAGACGTGAACTCCCTAATGCGCTGGGCACGACCGACTACACACGAGCTGCGAAGCTTCCGCAAAACATACACGCAACCGGCGCACACACGACACAATACACAACGTGCACGCACGGTCCAGCCGCATGAGCAAGCACCTTGGCAAGGGCGTCTTTGTCCCAGACCTGCACCACGAGCTTGTCTACGGTTCTGACATCACTGCAGGCAGTGTGCCCCGCGTCACGTAGTGGCGAGAGGTGGACCTTCAGCCGGGGCGGTTGTAAAAAAGAAACCGCACGACCCAGCAACAAAAGGAGAGGGGGAGGGAGAAGAGAGAACGCACAAGAGGAACGACTCATTCCACAAGGGGTTGAGGGTCTTCTTCTTGATTTTGGTGACGTGCTTCTGTTGCCCGGCCTGCAACACGCAGTACGGGTCGCTATATCCTGCAGCACACGGTGCTGTCAGCCCTCCCTTCCTCCCTCCCTCCCCGTACCGCACTCCCACAAAGCCCAGCAAATAGGAGAGAAAGAGAGAGCGCAAAAAGAACGCTGGGGCGAGGCAAACCGTTTGAATCTGCAGACGGCAGGTTGCGGCCCTTCACCACTACACCGTATCGCCTCGATCAACAACAACTTGCTCAATCAATCAATAAACATATAAAAATGGGAGGGCGTACCATTCACCACAAGCGTCATGCTGAGCTCTGGCGCACCTCGACTTCCTCCTCCTTTGGACTTCTCCTGTTGACGGCTTGTTGCCGGGCCACGCGAAGGGGAAAAACAGGAAAAGCGCCAGGAAAGTGGAAATTTCTTTTGCACAACCAAGCCACACGACGTAACCCTGGGTCCCCATCAAGATGGAGAAGGTGGTGCGGGGCCTTCTGCTATCAAGCCACACCGACGAGGCCAAGGTGGCAGTGCTGCGGCAACTTCTGCCCACATGCCGCCCTACAGGAGAGGCAGCGAGTCATGCCCTCTACCGCCTGGCATCCGAGCTCCTACTTGGACCCACTCCCGAACCCACGTACCCACGTCCCCCCCCCTACTTCCCCTCTTCGCGGCATGCCGAGCGCGCGTTCCGGCGCGTGCACGTTCCGGCGCGTGCACGTTCGGCTATGCTGCACCCCCCTCCCACCTTTCGACGCTGACGCGCGGGACGGCGACGGTTCAGGATGGGGGAGCTGCTCCTGGCCCACCTGGCTGGCCAACCGGGGCAGGAGAAGTGGGCCGCTTCGTTCTTCTCCACCACGCGCCTGACCGAATACCTCGTCGACACGGTGCGCACAGTGCCCTCGTGCGAGATGCGAGGAGGAGGAGGAGGAGGAGGGGGGAGAGGAGGGGGTGAGGAGGAAGGGCTTGTTGGTTTCCTCCTCTCCCCCGAGCCGCACTCGCTCACCAGCTTCTCTCCTCCAGACGCACAGCCTCGACAAGGTGGTTCACCTCCTGTGCCTCGCGCTCACCCTCAAGGGTACGCACGCACGCAACTTGTCGCGCTGGCGGGTGGTTGGGCCCATGAGTGGGCGGGCGGGCGGGCGGACACGAGAGGCCTCATCACCCTAGCACACCCTCCCATTCCCTCCTCCTCACATCTCGCGTTGGACCAAAGGCAAAAGCGACCCCGTGGGCGTGCTCCGAGACAGCAACGCCTTGCACTCCTACCTCTCACCTCTCCTGCGGAAATTCGCCTCGCCACTGCTGCAGGTCCCCCCCCCATCACTCTCTTTCGCCTCGTTGATGCATTTGGCCGTGCGTGCGTGCGTCGCGTGCGTGCGTGCGTGCGTGCGTGGTGAGTGTCGTTCGTTTTGTGCGTGCGTGCGTGCGTGCGGTGCGAGGGTGACTGTGCGTCACCATCTCACATAAGAGTATCTGATCCATGTGTGCGTGCGCAGGTTGCACTTGCCCAGCTGTTGGTGTGCGTGCCCAGCGCTCGCCCTCCCGCAGTAGATGTGCCGCAGGTATGTGTGCACACGTTCCGCCGTGGGCGCTACCACCACGTGTCTACTTTGTACCTACATACCACCGCCACCACTACCACGACAACAACAAGGTGGTGCTCGGCTGGCTGACGGGAGTGGGAGTCGAGGACGATGTTGCCGAACACGCGGATGGCGGGAGTGAAGCGGCGCGTGCTTATGACACGCGAGTGGGACTGCTCACTACCCTCCTCCTGCACACGTGCAATGGCCGGTGAGTCGCCCACCAGCCGCCGCCGCCGCCGCCAAGGAGGGCAGGCAGGGTGCTCACACATCCCGTTCTCCTCCTCGTGGTGGCGGTGCAGTGAGGACAAAATCCTGGCCCTCCTCGTGCAGGTGTTCATCCACTTGGCCAAGCCTGCATCCGGGTCGAGCGGGGGTATCCCTTCATTCGCCCTCGCTGCGGTCCTACAGAACGTGCCCTCCTCGTACATCGCTCGGTACCCACCGCCTCCCGCCTCGACACAGTTCGCACCTACGCTGGGCCGGCACCCTACGGTACTCGATGCTGGGGGGGGGTTCTATTCTAATGAAATCACGGACCACCACAGGGCGGCCAGCCTCATCGCGCATCCCGCTTCGGGGGCCAAGGATGCAGAAGTGGAGCTCGCCTTGGTCCACCTCATCAGCTGGCCCCTCTCCCACCGCCTCGGTTCTCTTTCTCCCCTGCCCTTTCCTCATAGCACGGCGAGGCGTGTGATTTGAGCTGACGGTCACATGACCACTTCACGTTGTTGTTTCTGCTGCCCTGTTGGTTGGTTGGTTGTTGGCGGTGGGCTATGTGTCCACACCAGGGGATTGGGTGATCGGCCTGCTGGGCGCATTGGCCGAGGCGAAGCGCTATTCCGTGGTGGCCTCCCTGACAGCCAAGTCAGCACACATTGCCGTGAACCAGATGTTCGTGCCCGAACTGCGCGTGGGCGCCCTCCGTGTGCTGCGCCACCTCCTATTGGGTTAGTGGCCTCGACCCCCTCTCCTCCCCCCCCTCTCTTCCCTCTCTGCAACTTTACACGACGTACGCAGCCTCTGATGCGCGGGTGCGTGGGAGCAGGCTATCAGCACAGCCCCACCATATTCCACGCTCTCCTTCCGGACTTGACGAAGCTGGTGGCCGCCCTCGCCGAACAACCAGGCGGCACCACTGGCGGCAGCAGCAGCAGCAGCAGCAGCAGCTCGGCTTCCTCCGCAGACAGCCACCACAATCGTCGGCCGCGAGAGGAAGCCGAGGCGCCGACCGAGAAAGAGGAGAGGCTGTCTCTCGGCAGTGCGGGCTGGGAGGCGGCCGTGGCACGCCAAGGGCAACAGGCAGCCGACCCCGCGCTCTCCCAAGTGTACGCCGCGCAGATCGTTCCGCGCCGCGTCATCTCTGCCCTCCTCACGCTCTTCGACTCCGCTTCCACCACACATCGTACGTCCTAGCCCTCCCCCGGTCTGTTATCGGACGTCTGATCTGCCGCGGCCACCGCCACCGCCACCGCCACCGCCACCGCCACTACTGCCGACGGCGTGGCTATGATGACAGCGGCAGCGCGCTCGGCCCCGTCCCCTGCTGTAGCCCCGTGGTGCCCTTATGTGGGGGCGGGCCTCGCGGAGCTGCTGCACGTGCTGATGCTCCACTACACGGGCTATCCGGAGCTGTATTCTCCTCTCCTCACCGCTCTCCCCCAGGCACCCCTCCCCCTCCCTCGGCCCACCCTGCCCCAGCACCCCACCCATCACCCAATGATGGTAGCGGCGGCGGCGATGCTATAGACAGACAGACAGACAAACAGATAGCTCGCTCGCTAACGCCTCACGGTTCTGCCCCGTAGGAGCCTCCAAGTGAGGCTGATGCACGCAAACTAATATCGCAGCACCAGTGGACGACAGCCGGTACGGCACACCATTTCATCCCCCACGCGCGCGCTCATCCCTCCCCCACCTCCGAAGATCCACTGACGTACGTGCGCGCGTGTGTGCGCGCCGGGTGCGGCTACATGGGCGGTGGGCAGAGGGGGTGTACAAGGAGGTGGGCAACGTCCTCCCCAGAACGGGAGCCCGCGGCAGGACTGGACTTGTCAACCTGGGCAACACCTGCTACCTCAACTCCGCTTTGCAGGCCCTGTTCATGGTCCCTCCCTCCCATCTTCCCCACCGCGCGCGCGCGTGTCGTGTGTGTCGTGTGTGTGTGTGTGTCACCTACCTGGGAGGATCGTGTGTCAACCCACACGCCATCGCACGGCGCACGACACGTGCATGTCAATGTGCGTGTGCGGCCTACAGCTCATGCCTCCCTTTGCGCTCTTAGACTGACAGTCTGCGGGATGCGTTGGCTGCGCTCAACCTCCCCCTCCGCCCCTCCGATGCTGCTCACGCGCTTGCCGCTTGCCCCACTGCGACCCAGCTGCAAAGGTTTCCCCTCCCTCCCCCTCCTCTCTCTCCCTCTTAACCCGCTGCAACAAGCAAGCGAGCGAGCAAGCGAGGGCGTGCATGCAGGCATGCACGGTTCTGTGATTGACCGCTCGGTGCGGCGGTCGGGGCTGGTGCGCGCGCAGAGTGTTCGCATATCTTTTGCGATCGGCGCGCGGGGCCTACGCCCCCAAGCTGTTGCGAGCCGCGCTGCCGGGGTACTACCAGGAGCCCATCCAACACGATGCGTCTGAATTCTTAAAGTACATACCTCTCTTAGCTCTTTCCTGTCCCTCCCCCCTTCTCCGGTGTACTGATGAGCGCTCGCGGCGCGCGCTCTCTCTCTCGCTCTCTTGTTGGTACCCCCGCGCGCGCGCGCCAGGTACCTGCTGGACCAGCTCGAGACCGAGCTGGGGGCGACCCCGCAGAAGGCACTCGTGTCACGCAGCTTCGGTGGCACCCTCACCAACCGCATCATTTGCTCCTCCTGTGGCCACCAGTCCCCAACCAAGGTACGCCCGTTCAACGCGGCGTTGCCGACCCAATGACCCATTGGGGGGGAGGGGCGTCTCTCCTCCTAAATATATTTGTGTACAGGAAGCCTTCACCGACCTGGCACTTCCCTTCGACACTACTGATGAGGCCGCGCCCACTGATCTGGCCGCCATGCTCCGGAGCTTCTTGCGCGCGGAGCTGCTCGAAGGCTCCAACCGCTACGCGTGTCCCCGCTGCGACGCCCTCCGCGACGCCCGCAAGGTTGCGCACATGCGCCAAAAGCTAACCGACTGACCGACTGACCGTCCGATCGTTGCCCACCTCCACGTCACAGGAAGTGGCGGTGACGTCCCCGCCGGAGCACCTGGTGCTCACCCTGAAGCGGTTCAGCTACGACTACAAGACCGGCCGGCGCGCCAAAATCCTCACGCCCGTCCGCTACCCCCTCTCGTTCAGCCTCCCCGTGCTCGACCACGACGCGTTGGTAAGGGCGCCCTTGCCCCCCCCCCAAACCCATTCTACCTTGTTTTTATTTATTCATTCATTTCTTTCTTTCTTTCTTTGTGGGGGGTATATTGCGTCCAGGCGGCGGGGGTGGAGACGGTGACCGAGGTGCCGTACCAGCTCTACGGCGTGGTCATGCACAGCGGACGATCCGCCCACCATGGGCACTACTACGCCTATGCTCGGCCCGCCCACGCCCCTCTCGCACGTTCGTTCGATCCCCCCCCGCCCTCTCACCCAAATGTTCGTGTGCACATCACATGTGTTGTGTTCCTCCTGGCGCAGGCCTGCCGCTCACCCCCGCCACACTCGCTTTGCAGGAAAGGAAGGGCCGGATGAGGACAGCGGGGACCACCGCCACCTCGAGGGGAGGAGGGAGGAGGAGGAGGAGCGGTGGTACCTGTTCAACGACTCGCTCGTGCAGAAGTCGAGCTACCGGGCGTTCTCAGCCATCTCCCAAAAGTTCAGCTCCGACGTGCCCTACCTCCTCTTCTACGCTCGAGCCACTCCCCACGCCCCTCGGCCCGACTCAGCCGCCGCCACAGAGGCCACGGAGGTCCTTCCGGCCCTCGCGCGCGAGGTCGAGGCCGACAACGCCCGATTCCTGGCCGAGGAGGAGGCTGCCGCGAGACGCGCCGCCCAGATCAAGAAAAGCCGATACGCCTACGCACGCACCTCCTCCCCCTTCTACCGGTACGACGTCGCATTGCACACAGCCACACGACACACGACACACGACACACGACACACGACACACGACACACACAACCATTTGCTACACCAAACTGATTGGGTGAGTGAGTGGTCTCTATCGCTAAATCACGCACGCACTTCGTGCTCACAGATTCGACGAGGACGACGAGGACGAGTGGGGCGGGCGTGGCTGCGGCGGAAAGCGCTTCGATGACGACTTCGGCGGTGGGGCCTTCGGCGGTTTCGGACCCCATTTCGTGTCGTGACGATTCCGGTGTCTCCTTCCGGAGGGAGTGGCTGCTGTACAGAACAGAGAGAGCGTTGGTCCCTCGTGCGACCGCCAAGGAAAACCATTACCGTATTTAAGGTATTTTATTATTATTGTTTTTGTTTTTGTTTTTGTGCGAGAAGGCTGTGCACCCGAGCCACCGTCGCCAAGGCCGAAGCTGGAGTGATGATGGACGGCAGCAGCAGCAGGAGGAAGAAGGACGCGGCCAAAGTGCACCACCCCGACAAGGACAAGGACAAGGATGAGGAGGTCGAAGATGAAGAGGAGATGAGCAGGGAGGAGATGTTGGCGCAACTACGAGAAACGCGCCACCTCGATGTCAGCAAGCGAGAGGTACATAATCTTTTTACGTCCCGCTTACCTTCCTGGCGACTCATTTCAATTGATGTGTGGGGGGGGGACAAAGCTGGCAAGCAAGAACTTGCCGCCTGAGTTGGCCTACATGATCAACCTCGAGATGCTCTCCATGGCCCAGAACGAACTCACCGAGCTGCCCAAAAGCTTTGGTACTGCGCAGCTCTTCTTTTTTTATACATTTATTTTAAATAATAGTAATTCATTTTCGTTGGTGCTGGTGCTGCGCAGGCAAGTTGAGCAAGTTGGTCGCGCTCAACCTCAACACCAACCTCTTTGCCGAAGTCCCCAAGGTGCACCGTCGACTTGGGTGGTGTGTGTGGTGTTGTGTGGTACCTGTGGCCACAGGTCGCGCGTGCGGCATTGGATGTTTGTTAAGTGTAGGTGGATGGGGGTCGCGGGGGGTAAACAGGTATTGGGTAAGCTGCCGGCACTGTCGATCCTGGACATGCGCAACAATCGCGTCACGGAGATCAGTCCCGGTACGCTGAAGAAGATGACTGCCCTCACCAAGCTCATGTTGCGTTACAACCGCATCGTGGCGCTCCCGGCCGAGGTGGGCCACCTCAAGAACCTCCAGCTCCTCAGCATCCGCAACAACCACCTCATCTCCGTCCCTCCCGTACGCACACCCACCCATCTTTGGTGGCTGGCTGGCTGGCTGGTGGTCGTTGCTGTTGGATGCTGTTGTTTTGACCACTCACACGTCGTCGTCGGCTGTCTGACTTTGCCCGGGGGGGGGTGACCAAAGGAGCTCAACCAGCTCGAGAAGCTGCAGGTGTTTGATGCGCGCGGCAACCAGCTCCGGAGGTGCGTTTTTGTATTCCTCGTGCCTTCTCCTGAGATTCCGTGCCCCCCCCCATCATTGCTGACTCATAGGACGTTCCTCTCTCTCTCTCTCTCTCTCTCCTGCTCATCGTTGCGGTGGGCCTGCTCACAGCATCCCCCCTCTCGGCGGTCTCCGGTCTCTGCTGGAGCTGGACCTGCAACACAACAACCTCTCCTGGTACGCACGCACGCACGTCGTACAGCGGCACGCGCCGCCCCCGCCCCCGCCATATCATCACCCGCTTATGGATGGGCGACTCAACATCCCTCCCTCCACACCTCACCCACTTTCCACCACGACCACGACCACCATGGTGCTAGTCTGCCGTCCGAGCTGTCGCACCTGTCTTCGCTTACCCGCCTGTCCCTGGGCTTCAACAACTTCTCAGAGTTCCCCCTCGAGGCGGTGGGCATGAGCTCCCTCGCCGAGCTCGACCTCGAGGCCAACTGTGTACTCGCCCACCCTCCATCACACGACACATACACCACCAGCCACCACCAGCCACCACCAGCCACCACCGAGTCTATTGTCTCACTCGTCACCCGGGTGGCGATGTCCCCCCCCCAAACATCAGATCTCAGTCGTACCGCCGGACATCAAGCACATGACCGCCTTGCGCACCCTCTACCTGTCCAGGTGCGTGCGTGCCCCCCCCCAAACCTATTTCTACTTCTCCCCCCCCCATCGGTACATGTATCCATGTCAGTGCGTCTGACGGAGAGGTGATGCTGATGCTGATGCTGTTGCCGGGCTGCATGCGCAGCAACAAGATCAAGAGTCTGCCGAGCGAGATAGGGCGGCTCTCGAGTCTCGAGAAGCTGTCCCTCAATCACAACCAACTCCGCACCCTCGACGTACACGACCTTGCCGTACGCTCCCCTGCCCACCCACCCACCCACCATCCTTCGCCTTCGCCCGACGGGGCCTGCTATAATGCTGCTGGTGGTGGCTGGTGGTGCTGGTGACGGTGGCGGTGGCGGTGGTGCAGGAGTTGAAGAAGCTCGTGGATCTGGACCTCGAGAACAACCCCCTCGAGTGGGACAAAGACCCGGCCAAGGGCGCCGAGGTTCGCCCCCTTCTCGCTTCTCTCTCGCCCCACTCTCTCCCTCTCTCTCTCTCTCTCTCTCCCTCTCTCTCCCCCCCTTGAGGGGTCCCACGCCTGCAAGTGCTCACCCGTCCGGCTGCTGGGCTCCTCATTGTGGGTGGTCGTGGTGGCGGTGGTCGTGGTGGTGGTCGTGGTCGTGGTGGTGGTGGTGGTCGTTGTCGTGGTGGTCGTGGTGGTGGTGGTCGTGGTGGTCGTGGTGGTCGTGGTGGTGGTGGTGGTGGTGGTGGTCGTTGTCGTGGTGGTGGTGGTGGTCGTGGTCGTTGGTGGTGGTGGTGGTGGTGGTGGTCGTTGTTGTGGTGGTGGTGGTCGTGGTGGTGGTCGTGGTCGTTGGTGGTGCTGGTGATGATGTTGCCGTGGTGGGTGGGGTGGGTCAGGCTGTTCGGGCGCTGAGCTTCGTCCCCAACCTCAAACTCTCGGCGCACAAAACCGACCCGGCCGCCGCCACCCGCAAAGGTGCCCCCGCACACGTGCCACCCCAATTTATTTATTTATTTATTTATGTATATGCTTCGGCTCACACGGGGTGGTGGTGGCTGGTGGCTGGTGGCTGGTGGTGGTGGCTGGTGTCAATGCCAGGAGGGGCGGGTGGTCCCACGGGGGAGGGCTCTGGCCACCGGTCCCTCTTCACGGAAGGCGGGCTCATGTCCATGTTCCACGAGCACGCCACCACCACCAGCGGCGGCGGCGGCGGCGGCGGCAACCACGAACGCGAAGAAGAGGAGCAGCAGCAGTCGGAAGAGGGTAACGGGTCGCGGACCGGGAAGGCCAAGGCCAAGACGCCCCGGTACAAGCCCCCACCCACCCTCCCTTCTCGCGCGCGCGTGCCTTTGGAAAGATGGGAAAGAAGCAGCTACCCACCCTCCACCACTTACCACTCACGCCTTTGAATGGGGGTCATGTCATGCGATGCCACGCCACGCCACGCCACGCCACGCCACGCTCCGCTCTGTGTGCACGCTGCGGCAGGGAGCCGCGGGGTGGGCTGATCCGCGACTTTTTCGCGCTCGAGGACCTCAACAAGCCCGGCCTGCAGAAGGCCAAGAAGGAGCCCCTGCAGCAGGAGGTATCCATCGCGCACCTCGCACCCCCCCCCCAACACCCAACCAACCAAAAAACAAACCATCAAACCAACCAGTCCTTGCCCACTCACCTGTGAGGCGCGCGCGCGTGTGTCCAGGACGCGCACTGTTGCCACCATCCGTTCTTTGACGAGAACGACATTGCCCTGTTCTGCGTGCTCGACGGACACGCTGGACGAGAAGCCGCCCTCACCGCGGCCCAGCTCATCCCCAAGGCACGACACACGACACACGACACACGACACACCTGCCGCCACGGTTGGGATGGGATCAAGTGTCGTGAGCCTGGCCAGGTCGATTGACCTTATGGATGGCTGGCTGGATATATCCAACCACCACCACCACCACCACCACGACCACCACCACGACCACCACGACCACCACCACAGGAGCTCAAGCAGCAGCTGAAGGCCCACAAAAAGGAGAGCAAAAAGTCCTCGCGCCCCACTGACCTGCACAAGATGCTTCACTTGGCCTATCTCAAGGTGCTGCCCTCATTGCACACGCGCGGGGCCTCGCTTTCCCATCACGCGGCGCTCTCGTCGATGTCACAGCTCACCAACTCTTTTTTGCTGGCGGTGGTGGTGCCGGTGGCGATGCGTGGTGGTGCAGGCCGATGACCAGATGCGCCAGTTCCAGTACGAGGGCTGCACGGCCACGGCGGTCGTCGTGTGGCAGGTGCACGTCCAATCGATTCCTCTCTCTCTCTTGTGTGTGTGTGTGTGTGTGTGTGATGTGTGTGTGTGGCGCGTGTTGTCGGTCGTACGTAGCTGTAGTGCTTTCGGATGCACACACACCTCCTCCGCCCTTCCACTCCGCCGGCCTTCAGTTGGGGTGTAGAGACACCCGGGGGACCGGCGCGGTGGGTCGGCTGGCTCACAGACGTGTGGTGGTGGTGGCTGCTGGCGCGGCGGCGGCGGCGTGAACTAGGTGGGCAACGAGCGGTACCTCCAGTGCGCCAACGTGGGCGATTCTGCGGCTTACCTCTAGTACCGCCCCCATTCCCCCTTTGGCTCCTCCAATGGCTAGACCGGTCGGGTGCTAAGCGGCGAGCCTTTCCCCCTCTGGCGATTCTGTTTATTTTCGTCGTCGTCGTCGTCGCGAATCAGCCGCGCGGGGGAGCCCGTGTGTTTGATCCGGGAGCACAAGCTCACCAACGAATTCGAGCGGGGCCGAATCATCTCCTCCGGCGTTTGGCTCACCGACGGACAGACGCGCATCGCAGGGATCGGGGTAGGTCACCATCCACAACACCCCACACAGCGGCGACGGCAGGGCTGCGTCAATGATCACCACTCATCCCCAATTATTGTTGCCTTGTTTTTCGTCGTGGTGGTGGGTGGTGGGTGGTGGCGGGCACAGGTCACAAGAGTGCTGGGCGATCATTTCGCAAAGGACACCAACAGCGGGATGTTGGGTGCGCCCGATTCGTCGCCTGCCTACCTGCTCACGCCACACGACACCCACCTCATTGTGGCCAGCGACGGCGTGCGTTTTTCTATTTCTGCCCCTCCTCTCAGTGCTGGCCTCTCCCCAAGCGCTCATCCGGTCTCCTTACCCCCCGCAGCTGTGGGACGTGATGTCGCCGGCTACGGCAGGCGACCTCGTGGCCAAGGAGGAGACGGCCGAGGCGGGAGCCAAGGTGCTGATGAAGCGCGCGCTGGCATCGGCCAAGTGTAAAGATAACGTCACCATCGTCGTGGTCCGTTTGTGAAGGCCCGCGCGAGTGCGTGTATTTATTGTATCTTCTCTCGTTTGTGGCTCTCCCCGCCGCGTGGCAGAGAGGAAGAGGAACAGAGTGATCACACCTTTTTATCGCTTGTTCTTGTTGTTGTTGCTGTTGCTGTTGTTGTTGTTCTTGTTGTTGCTTCCACGCCCCCACTAATCATCAAAGCGGATGTCGAGGTGGCCTCGGCCTCCCTTCTTGGCCGCAGGGCCTGCCTTCTGCGCGAAAAGAAAAGAAGGACTGAGTCCCGCAATGGCGGGGAAAGAAAGTTGTTTGGAGGTTTCGTCCGTACCACAGCTTTCTGCTGCACCACCTCCTCCATCTCCCTCTCCTCGTCGTCTTCGTCCATTTCGTACTCGTAACCGTCGATCACTGCGGCACATACAATCATCATCATACATGATGGCGGTGATGCATGGATGATCAGCAGCAGCAGCAGCAGCAGCAGCAGCAAGCTCCAGACGTAAGAAGCAGCGGCGAGGCCGATGCATCGTATAAGTGGGAGATGGGGGAGATGGGGGGATAAGTGGCGTACGGTCTTCGATGTCCGAGTCGTCCTCCACGAATTCGTCGACGTCCTTTTCTTCTTCTCCTCCCTCCTGCTCGTCCTCGTCCTGCGGGAGCGGGAGGTGAATGCGGACGCGCCAATGGAGCTGGACTGGTGCCAGTTTCTCGCGGAGAAGGGAGGCCACATGCAGGCGGGGCGGGGCGGGGCGGGCGGGGGTACCTCGTATTCCTCCTCGTCCTCGTCCTCGCTCTCCGATTCCTGGAGCTGCTCGACGGCCTTCTGGAAGGCTCCCGGCTGGGCATTGAAGATGCCGTCTTCCATCTCTCGGTCTCCCTGCAACCACCCACCCACCAACCGCCGCCGCCGCCGCCGCACCTGTGATGTGAGTAAAGAGCTTCGCGGCGGCGGCAGCGGCGGAGGAGGAGAGGCAAAGCAAGGCAATCAAATCAATGGTCGTCACCTGAATGAGGCGGTCGAGAAGCTCTTTCTCGATGGCGTGCTCCACCTTGGCCGCGATGAGGGCCTTTTGCTCCCTCTTCCTCTGCACCCGCTCCTCCTTGGGCTTCACGCCCACCAGCCTCGGCCGTTCCTTCTTCCTCAGCTTTCGCATGCGGATCAGGTACTGTGTGATCTTGGTCAGACGCTGCTTGCACTTGTGCTTCATGTACCCCGGCCAGTAGATCTGTTGCCACACGACACACACACACACACATATATAAGCAGGAAAAAAAACGAGTGTGGTGTGGTTAGTAGCGGCTGGCGGCCATAGAATACGGGAGGGGGAGGTGCGCACGAGCTGCTCGTCGATCTGGGCGAGCGCCTTGGCAAAGTTCTTGTCGAGCTTCACCTTCTCCCACAGCTTGGCGGGAGTGTGCGCCCGCTCCACGGTCTTCATGTAGAGGTAGCACACGCCTGTGGTGTGGGTGGTTGCACACAGACACCGCCCACCCCCAACCAACGCCGCACAGAGAAACAGAGGCATTGCGCATTGGGGTAAGAATCTCCTCCTGGCAAACACCGACCACAGGCGCAAGGGGCGAAGATAGACAAAAAGCAGATTTAAATAGACAAGAGGGGGAGGGTCTCCGTACCCTGCTCCTCGCGTACGGTCGCATACTGAGAATTGGCCAACGGGCACGAGGACTTGGTGCACAGACCATTGAAGTTGTACTCATTCTTGCAAAACGTTTCGATCTTGGAATTGCTCAGCCTTAGCGAGTTTAAATTGGTGGGGGGTGTGTAAGTGGAGGGTGCGCTGGCGTGATAATGCCGATACAAATGACAAATCAATTGTGGATGAGACGTACTTGGCTTTGAAGGAGCAATGCTGGTTGTTAAGAACATGCCAGATAACATCATCGTTCTGCATGGCGATGTGTCACTCAGCCTTGCGTTTAGCACGAAGAGATGAGATGAGATGCTCGGGGGTTTCCTTCCGGAGCGGACTTGGAAAAAACAAAAAGAAGAAGTTTGGGAAAGAAACAAGACCAAAAATGAAAGGAAAATGGAAAATGGACAGAAATTGGAATTTCTGATCAATTTCACGCGGGGTCGTCGGTGGTGTGAAAGGAGACGGGCGGGAGGCGGGAGGTGTGGGACGGGGCCAGGAACCCATTCTTGAAGGCCGCGGCCCCCATCACGCGCCGCCCTATGACAGAACCAACCCCGCGCATTGTCCGCCAAACACCACATCGGCCAAACGAGTCACACGGCGACATATGATGATGATGATGATGAGCATCCTAGCATTATTATGGCTGCATGCAGGCACCGCAGTGGCGAAGGAGGCAGAGTGAGTGTGCGCGTACCCTCGATCTGGACCTCGCGCACGGCAACCCAGCCCTCTTCCTCTCGTCGCCGGCTCTCGGCAGCCTCGGCGTCCTCGTTGGCAGCTGATCCCTCTGGCGCGGGCACGCCCGAAGGGGCTGCACACTTGATCCACAGGAGCTTCCGCCGCGCGTCGTACTCCACCTGGCCGGGCGCCGCTGCACCCGGCGATACGGCGGCCGGCCAGGTTGGCGATTCGGGGATCGGCCAGGCGGGGCATGGCTCCCGGCGTGACGACGTCGCCGAGTAGGGCGGCACGACGCCCACCAGCTTGAGCCTAATAGGCCAACATACACACACATGTGTGTGTGTTGTGTGTGTGTTGTGTGTGTGTTGTGTGTGTGTGTCGTGTGGTGAGAAGTTGAGTACGGCACGCACGCCCTTAAAGAATAAGTAGTGGCGGCTGCTGGTTGCGGCTGGTGTTGGGTAGTGGGGAGGGGTGTACCTGTTGCTGCGGAAGTAGGTGTGCACGCCCAGCGAGTGGCCGAGGGCGCGCCACAGATTGTGGACGTGGCGGGGCTGGTGCCGCTCCCAGTGCACCTGCGCCATCGCCCCATCTACCACCACGGCCACGGCCACGGCCACGGCCACGAGCCGGCCGCCGCCGCCGTCGTCGTCACCACCGCACACACGACACACACGACACACACACGCGAGACACGCGACACACGCACACCCAACCACCATGTGCGATCATCGCGGATTAGCTAGGAGCTGCAAACCCGCCACATGCTGTGTACGTGGCGGGAGGGGATGGAGTACCGATCTTGGGGGCGCGCGTGGACAGGCGGTCGT